AAAATAATAAAAAGAAAGTTCCTGAAAAGTCACAGATCCTTCCCATCTAATGTTTATTTAAACCAATCTATATCTAATCAATAATCTAATCCTGAGCTGACACTTTAAACTGTTGAGCTGCTGATCACAAAGACAGAACAAACACGCCCCCTACTGACCGTTCATCTACATCAAAAGGGACAACCTCTAACAGCTGATCATCAGGAGACGCTGGGAGGCTTTTATTCTGAAATATTTGTGTGATTCAGCGTCTGTATTCACCATCTGTCGGACATGTGACCTTTGACCTTCCTGATGTCTGCATACAATATATAAACTAGTGTAAAATATTGTGTTCTTCTCTTTATTTTGGTTATTTTTACACGAGTTACACAAAAATAGCGCCTTCCATCAGCTTTTGTTCAACCAGTGTCAGTTTTCAGAGAACCATGTTGGTCCTGACCTCTGACCTCTGACCTTCCAGTGTCAGCCTGTAGCTCTGCATGAGGACGAAACAGAAGAGAGAAAATGTTTTCCTGTGAAGTGTGAGTGTTGCTGCTGAGTGTTTTTACAGCTAATTAAAACTAACTGCTTCCACCTGCCTCTAAATTAGAACCTGATTAAGCAGCAGGAAAGAAACCAGCAGGATTTTTCTTCAAGTGAAGATAAAACTGTGATTATTATTAAATAATTAATAATAAAATGGTCTTAAGTCTAATTTTCTGATTTTTCTGAACACAACAAAGTTTATTTAGTTCTGGAGCTTTCAGCTGTTTGAGGTTATCTTTGTTTGTGGAAATTAAAAATAAAATCTGACCTCTGATTACGGCCTTTTTAACCCTTTAATATCCTCAGTTATATTTTACCTGTTTAACAGTGTAATGACAAAAAAATCTATTTCTTTGTATTTTTAAATCAAAATCAACATTCTTCCTGTAAAACAAAATGTGACGCTAAGATTCATTAGCGCAGAGTTTCTTAAATCACTGATAACTTTATTATCGGTAAAACACAACTTTATTGTCACTGTACAAAAACACAACTTTATTTAGTTTTGGTGACTCTCAGTGACGTGCAGCATCAATAAAAACAAGATAAAATATATCAATATGATGAGGTAAACAGTGACAGTGCAAATGTTGCATCAGTATAAAAATATATAAAATATATTTACAGAACAGTTTACAGCAGAGAGGTTTATGTGTACGTGTGATAAAGTGTTGGAGTAATATTTGGCACATATTTTCTGGTTTTCCCTCTGACGTCCTCCAGCTGCTGCTACCAAACCAACGGGGTCCCGATGGTTATATTCATAATTTGTTCATGTTTTGCTGATGATGTCATGGTGTCCTGGCGTGCTTTATTTCAGGCAGATGTGGGAGCAGCTGGCTCACAGAGGAGCGTTTATTAACCTCAGTGACGGCCGTTAAGACCGAACCTCAGCATATTAAAAAAGATCGTAAAAACAGGCCGGTAATGTTTTCACAGGTACGTACGGATGGCAGGTCAGCACACGTCAAACAGGTTTCACATGTTAGAGAGTCAATTCTGTTCTGCAGAGAGCAGATTTATCAGTCCATAACGAGACTAAAGAAGGTGTTATAGGTTGAGGGGTTGTATTTAATCTTTAAATCTATAATTTGAAACATTTCCACATAAAATGTCCATAACCACTGGCTCTATGTATGTAGTTGAGTTGTGTTCTTACATCGTCATCCCGTCATATTATTCTGGTAACGCTGTGGTTCACGGTTTGGGTTTAAAATAATATGAAAATTACGCCTTGATGATAACTATATAACTATGAATGAATGAATTATGTGATAAAAAGTCAAAATTATGACTATAAAGTCAAAACTTTGAGATAAGACGTCAAATTTATGAACAAAAAGTAAAAAATTATGAATGAAAAGTCAAAATGATGTGATAAAAAGTCAATTTCTGGCAGAAATGACCTTCTATACACGTTGGCATTGTAGTTTTGAGTATCTGAGTGTAGTATGTGCTGAGTAGTGTTCATTATATATATATATATAAAACTGTACTCACTGTGGTAGCAGCAGTTAGAAGCAGCTGCCTTTATTCTAAAACAGTGTTTACGGGAGAAAACTGCTCAGAAATATCTTCACGCTGACAGATGGTGTTAAAATGGTGACGGAGAGAAAACGCAGCGTTTCTTAAAGGGAGTCTTTGGTGAAGTCACACGATCCGAATATAACTCTGAGGCATCTCCTCACATTCCCCCCACCCCGACTGGATAAAGTTAGCTGCTGAGGAAACTCTAGAGGCCCCCGGAGCCTCGGGCCCCCAGCAGACCGGAGGCAGAGCACCATGTAAGGAGTGTGAGGGCATAAGTGTGTGTGTGTGTGTGTGTGTGTGTGTGTGTGGAGGGCAGGGCATCATCTGAAACCAGCAGTGAGTTTAATCATTAAAGGAACTTTTTCCTTTTTCCTTTTTCCTTCACTAAATGACACTAAAATGTGTCAAACAAAGCTTGTTAATTTAGTTTCACAAACATTGTGATCACGATTATTTTACCATCAGGATAAAATATCTCATATACACACAAAATATACGAATCTGAGATAATTTAACACCTTGTAACACCTTATTGTGTAATAATAATAATGATCATTTATGAGATAAAAAACACATTTCATTAATTTAGTTTCACAAACTTTCATTTCAACACAATTTGTGATCTTCAATCAAAGAATACACTTTTAATTTGCACAATATTATTATTCTTTATAATATTATACTTTGACTCGCCATCACCCCACAATGTTTATCATTAACAATGAAAATGGATCCAAGTTGAATTTTAGGGAATTTCTTCTAATAGATCCTCATAAATGTTAAACACTGAATCTTTTAAAGACTCTTATTGTTGTGGTTTTGGGGTTTTTAGTTTAGTTATTTCCTGTTTTACTTTGAAAGAGTTGTTCCTTATGTGTCACTTTGTGTCTGTTTTGCCGCCAGTTTTGTTTATTACCCCCCGATCAGTGTCACCTGTGTCAACCTCACCTGTGTGTTGAGTCCATGTTCGTCAAGTGTTCCAGCCTTCGTCCGACTTTGGATGCTCCGTGTTGGATTTGTTTGGACTCTTAAATCCTTCATCTGGTTGTGATTTGCCCGACTATCTGTAAGCTTTTTAACTTTTTTCGACTAAATCATTTTAACTGCGCTTGCTCTTTCTCTTGCGTCTGCATTTGGGTCCAACCTCTTGTTCGCCTGGTTTGCCTTTGACAACTGTGTGACACTTTATTATGTATATATATATCAGTTTAACACTGTTTTCTATCCATGTAGCCACAGATTGTAATGTTGATTTCTATTTAAAACTGGGTTTAAGTCTAAAACCTCTTTTTCAAGCAGCCAAAATGTGGTAAATGTGGTGCAGATATCGTGTCACAAAATACAATCATTTTGAATTAGAAAGTTTGCAGAAAAATTGCCAAACGTCACAGAGAACAAAACACTAAATTTGTCAAAAAAGAAGCCTATTAAGTATTTATAATCGTTAAAAAAAAACAACACATAAAACAGACAGAATTATATAAAAAGTTGCTAAAACTTTTAGTAAAACTCATCTCTGATCAATATTCACATCCAAATCTCTGCTTTTACACAAACTTCCTGCAGTTATTGAGTTCACAGTTTACAGTTGATCAGCTGTTCTATGCTGTTATTAATATTATTCAATATAATATGAAATACATTAAACAGACGGATTATGTTTCAGTCCAGATTCTTGAAATATCTTCAGAGCAGCTGTGAGTTTGTCTTTCCAGTGTGACTCGACTGTAACGCCGATACACGAGAGGCCTCGATGGTTTTATGATGCCGTTAACCCAGACCACACCCTGAGGTCCTCATGCAGCTGGAATCAGGTTTCAAAAGGACCTCAATGCGGATTGTAAAGCAGGGACACAAACTGTACATAAACAGGGACGATGAGCCTCTCCTGCAGGTGTACACTCATATATCATCAGCTAAAAGCTTCACATACGAGCTCAGAAACACATAAAAACAGCAATCAAACTAATAAACGAACAAAGTCACTGACTCAGTGTGGCGTATTTCCTCAGACAGGTTGTTCCAGAGTCTTATTTCAAAGCCCCGTCCCCCCTTTAGTCTTCAGCCAAGAGTCTGGAACAGCCAGAGGATCTCAAACAGGCCTTTTCCACCAACTTCCACCAACCACCTTGTTTTTTACTAAAACCAAATCGGTTCAAATATCAGGTTTTTCTTTGGGAACCAAAGAGTCTCTGATGGATCCAGTTCAAGAACCAGAGCGTTTGAGTTTGAGCAGATAAAAGATCTACGTCAAACTGATGATTCAGACCATTTAGTGCCACATTAAGCTCCACAAAGTACAAATCAGATCAATTTCCTTAAATCAGTCCAAATGTTGGGTTTAAGTTTTACTTTTCATGCTATATTTAGTCTTTGGGGCACATTGGGTTATACATAATTTTCTTAAAATGGTAGAAAACGTCCTGAATAAACAGTAAAAACAGGGATTTTATATTATTTTCAGTTTTATAACTGCAGTTACTTATTAAAACCATCACTTATTTTTCACTGATTATCACCAAATGGTTAAAAAAAAATACAGAAAATGTTTTTTTACAAGAAACTTTCATTTGGTGTTGATTCTGGCACCCCTTGTGGACAAAATCAGAACTGTTTCTATTGCCTCATTTAATTGATTTCAAGGGGAATTTAACCCACTTGCAGACATTAAGAATATTAAGAGTAACTTTATTTAAATATCCGATCTTCTCACTGATGGCTTCAGTATTAAATAATAATTTATAATATATATGAAGTCAAAAACTGCTTTTTGTACATTTAATGAAAATGTAAGTAATTAAAAGTCCAGTATTTCTTCCTGTTAGCACGTTGAAGCTTACAGTTATTATTATCATAATATATATATATATATATATATATATATAGCTGTGTGTGTGTGTGTGTGTGTGTGTGTGTGTGAGACACAAGAAACAAATCCAGACTTATTTTCTTCCACAGTTGACTTTATTGTTTCTATTCGACAGTTTGTGTGAAGTGTTTCCCTGAATGTGTGGAGTTTAAGACTTAGTGCTTGTGTGTGTGTGAACCTGCAGAAACCATCCATCCATCCCTCCATCATCCCTCCATCATCCCTCCATCATCCCTCCATCAACCCTCCAACCATCCCTCCATCATCCCTCCAGACAAAGTACCAAAGAAAAACGAAAGAAGACAACGTGTGCTACCTGGTCTGGTTCAACACGTTTAAGACACGTTGGAGTTCATATAAACAGAAAAGACAAAAAACAAGCGGTGAAGTCGTTTAGGAAGTCTCGAACATCTTCTTCCTGTCAGCTTTGTCCTCGATATTTTTACGCCAGTCGCCCACAGCCTCTGTCGGCTGCAGAGGAGGAAAAACACATTTTAAATCATCAGGTTTCTGACTATATCAGGTTCAGTCCTCAGAAGAATCCTAATGAGGGAAATTAATTAATTCAACACAATAAAAACTAATAAAACATTTTTTCAAACTGGATCTTTAATTTTGTTTTATTTTTAGTCATTTAGTCTGAAGTAAGTGCTATAGATTGAAACTGACTTCACATTTTCATTTTTTAGACAATATCTGCATATAAAAGATTTATTAAAGTGTACAAATATAACTTATTTTTATATTATTATTTTTATATAATGTGTATTTTCTTATATAGTGTGCGATCAATAAAGTTTCGTATGAATGTGAAAAGAACAAATGATACGCTGATTGTTCTGATTGATTACTGATGTTTTAACCCCGTCTTTCTACTGAACATCATGGTCTTCCTCGTGGACAGATAGAGGGCGCTGTTTGCTGTAAAACCCTTTAATGGATCATTTGTGAGTTTAGATTTTTTTATAAAACCAGTGTTTAATATACAGGAACACTTTTCAGTCAGATATTAAAGCACTCAGCCAACGTGTGTTTATTCAGATAGTTCACAATCATCAATTAAAAAACATATTTTTTTATTGATTTCCGGCAGACAAGTATTAAAAGTATTAATAGTATATTTTGAGTATAATTCAAACACAGCATAAAACAGTAATTTACTACTTCTCCAGCAGTAATTCAGATTAATTTTCACTCTAAAAACAAATGTTTTGGTTTAAATTAATCCCTCAACAATAAAAGCTGTTTTTAATTACCACTTAATTAATATTTGGTAGCATAAACACAAGGTTTTCCACGTTATTTATGTGAATAATGTTGTATCTTGCAACCGTGCAGTGTTACTGTAAATATACGTCAGCTAAACGATAAAAAATAGTAGATAAAATACGATAAACTCACCTCCTCTTTCACCTCCTTCTTCACCTGCTTCAGGTTGGACCTGAGGTCCATGTTGACCGTGTGCTTGGAGCCCAGCAGAGCCTTCAGCATGGTGTCAGCGGACATACGCACTTTCTTCAGGGCAGGTTTCTTCACGCCTCTCAGATCCACCACTTTGATCTTCAGGTCTTCGATCTACGAGAGGAGAGTCTAGTTTTTATTGTGTTTTAACAACGAGGGCGAGGTTGAGTCCGTCTGGGGGAGAGTTTACCTCTTTGTCGGCCTTCTGCACTTTGGCCTCGATGTCGTACCTCTCCTCGTCGATCTTGTCAATGAGGGCGTGGAGCTTCTTGCAGACCTCCTGCGGACGCACGCATTGCTCAGGTTACATTTATGTACGTGTAAGTGTGTCAGATATCTGAAGCTAAAGCTGGAAACAGAAAACTACAGTAAAGTTATTAATATTAATTCTTCCTGAAGCAGCTTCGTGCGTCAAGTTTTAAAGTGAGGATTAAATTAAGTTGGTTTCCCTTTATTTGAACAGTTTATTGGTTGATTTAGGCACAAACATGTTTATTACTACATTAAATGTGTGTATAAATACAGACAAAGCCAATGTTACAAATACTCTAAAGTTAGATGGACAATACAAATAGAAACACTTTTCCGCCTCCAGAATGTGGAGCTAGCTTGTCTTTTCTCTTATAGCGTCTAACAATCGTACAGTTGTAAGTTTAAGTTTTAATTGAACGTTAACAAAATAACTGTTTCAATTTTGTGCTCAAATTCCAGCCCCAAGAAAAGAAATCGTTTCCCCTTATTTCCAGTCTTTGTGATAAGCTTCCTGTTATTTGTGCCTTTCAATAATCCAGATGTGGTTTAACTTGTTCTTTTAAATTAAAAGTACTAGCATTGAAGCTAACGTCAGTCTAGTCTCCTTGTGTGATCATTGATTACTGATTATTGATCACTGACGCCGCTCTCACCATCAGGGCGGCCTGGTCTCCGGACAGTTCGGGGGAGGGACAGTTTTCGGCCATGTAGGTCTGTTTGGCCACTACAGCCTCCTTCTGCTCCTGTTCGAGCCAGTTCGCCGCGATGGAGAGGATCAGACTCTGCGGGGAACAAACAGGGAACTTTGTGTAAGATAACAACTATCTTTAATTAATTTTATAATAATTACTCTAATAAACTAATTAAAACATGATCTGAAAGGCTGTAGATTAATCCGCCGGAGAAAATAGTCCTCGGGACGCTGTATTTTTGCGAGGAGCCGGCTGTTTTAGATAATTAATCTTATATTATAAAAACTGGTTGATTTAAAGCTCAACACTCATATTTTTTCATCTAATATTTTCAGGAAACATTCGATTTTTATCCAAGATTGTAGGAAATGCTGCTATAATTAAAAATAAATGTTTTAAGCTTACCTTCAGGTGATGCTTGCGGCTGGAAGTCAGCTTTTTCCTGTTTGGGAAGAAATCAGAGCAACATTAACCGATAATTATATTAATATTTACAACTAATTCAACTCATATTCACTCTGAAAAGCTTTTTTTTCATACGTTTCCAGTGCTGTCATACTCATTTAAAGCACTATTATGACTTTTATGTTTAATTTAAAGATAATATTGTAAATTATTACCAACGAACCTACAAAAAAACACCATTTTACACTCTATAATTGATGTTTAATGAACTCCAGACTTACTCAGACATCTCTGCGGCTCCTGCGGTTCACAACCTGCATGAGGACACATTAAGGAGGAAATGTTTGAGTATTTCTGACCCGTCAGGATGTCGGCGACAAGGTTCTCTGAGTTCAGCATGTCCTGCCGCTCTGATGGAGATGGATGGTCAGGAATATTTGTGTCCCGTAACGCGATCTGAGGCCACAGCTGAAGAGCAGCGACGTCGACTGAACTAAATCTGGGACGGTCGGGATCGGGTGTCTCGTCTCGGCTGTTTACGACCGGATCGGGACGAAGGGTTAATTTGAAAGATTCTCCAGTCGAGTATCAATTAAATAAAGTTCATCTTTAAAGTTCATCCTTTAATAATCACTCTGGATGTTACATTAAATTATCTCTTAATGATCAATTAAGTTCCACATTTATCTTTAATTGAAGTTTTAAAGTCCAACAGACCCAAATTTACCACCTTTTGTTAAAGTTATATTTACATTTCAGCTCCTTTTAACTGGATAAAAGTCTGACACATTTATAAACTATAATGCTAAAAATCTGATAACTTTACTTATTGAACTTTTCAGAAGTAGAAAAACACAAATTTACAACTTTTTAAGTTATATTTCCATTTTTTGAGTTTCCTTTAACAGGATGAGACACTAAAATCTGACTAACTTAGAAACTATGATGCTAAAAATCTAATAAATACATTTACCTATTAACTGTGAACTTTAAAGAACTAAAAAAACACAAATTTACCACCTTTTAAAAGTTCAATTTCTATTGTTTGAGTTTCTTTTAACAGGATAAAACACTCAAAGCCAAGAAATACATTTACTTATTAATTATAACTAATAATATAATCAGCCCATATTAATTAAACAGTTAATAAGCACTTAGATTTGTCCAGTTATTGTCATAAATGAGCTTTAAACTAACATTTTAACGGCACTTAAACTAAATAATTTGGATATTTGTCAAATAAAAAGCAGAATAATTATATTTTTCTCTCTTTAAAGCTCTTAAAGCGTCACATTTTCTTCAGGTAACGCGATGAGAAGATGGGTATTTTATCCATCCTGCACTTTTCAAACAGCCTCAGGACCATAAAACACGCCGTAAATTAAGGTCTGTCAGGGAAAAAGGTCAAATGTCAAGAAGCAAACATTTAGAAAGCGAGTTCAGGATGTCGGAGCGGGTCAAAGATGGAGAAAGCTTTTAAACGAGGAGTCTGAGACTACAGATTGTTTCTGTTTCTAAAATAAGAAGATGCTGCTCTCAGAGAGACTCGAGGAGGCTGAAAAAATGAGACAAAATGAGGAGTTTTTCTCACCTATAGAGAGGAAGAAGAGGAAGAAGAGGAAGAGCAGACACACTGTGTGGAAGAAGAGGAGACACTGCCAAAGCCACAGACAGTGAAAAATGAAATAGGGTTTATATGGTGGCTCAGCAAAATGCTCAGATCCTCTTTATGGAAGTGGATTCCCGTGCAGACCAATGGGCCAACGAGCTCCTGAAATACACCCGGGCCCAGCCCCGATCGGCAAAACCGCCCTCCCTGCAAGACCACGCTGTAGAAACTGCAGATTCAATGTGTGTGTGAGTGTGTGTGTGTGTGTGTGTGTGTGTGTGTGTGTGTGTGGGTTAAATATAAAAGACGACAAACTGAGTCGGATTCTCTCTTTAACTTTCAGTTTGAATTCAAACTAAAAGTCCTTAAACAGCTTTAAAATCGGCTCTTATTTCCCTTAAAAGCAGCTTTAAAATAAAGATAAAATAAAGCAGTTATTATAAGAAGCTAGCTCCGTAGCCTCCTGCGATATCCGATTGCTGTTAGCGAGTTAGCTCAAAGGAGGCGTGAAGAATTAAAATTATTTAGTTTTACCGACCAGAAAACACAACTTTTATAACGTCATTTAGTTCTTATAGCTTTACTTGTAACACACCGCTAACCGTTAGCTAGTTAGCTCAGTTAGCTGTGCAAGCTAACTGCAAGCTAGCCAGCAACCCGCTAACTGAGCTAACTAGCTAACGGCAGCTACAGTTAGCAGCAGTTAGCAGCTACTTTAGCAACAAGGAAACTGTAAATAATAATAATAATAATAATAAACTGTTTCTAACTTTATTCACTTATTTTAGTGAAACTCAGTTTCCTGAAGGTTGGCTAGCTTTTTCTTGTTGCTAAAGTAACCGCTAACTGTAACACAGCCAACTGAGCTAACGGGCTAACGACAACTTAGCAGTTAGCAGGAGTTAGCGGCTACTTTAGCAACAAGTAAAGCTATCTGAGGTCATCGTATTATTTCTGTAACTTTAACGTTTTCATCACCAATCTCAACCACTGCGACGTGAAATAGAAACTGAGACGAGAAAAAATAAATAAATTTCAAGTTCAAAGCTGAAATCGGATAGCTTAGCTTAGCTTAGCTTAGCTTAGCTTACTGGCAGCGGGGGCAAACAGCTAGCAATAAATACACAGACCAAAAAAACTGTCCAACTTTTGGAACCGTTAAAGTTTATGTAATGTTTAAAATTAAATACAAAGCGTTCGTTAATGAGCTGTCGATTCCCAAATGAAAATATTTTTCATATATTTATAATAACGTTGAAATATTCCTTTAAAGCATTAAATATTATCAATAACCGATAATAAGTTGATTGATAAGATAAAGATGGTTCCAGTATTTATATACTGATTAATAGTAAAAAAATACTTTTATTTTGAATTATTGGCTTTTTTTTTTTTGTCCGTAGACGCAAACAGAAGAATTTAATAGACTATTTATTTAAATCAACCACATTTAAAGTCTACTAGTTGTAGTTTTGCTCCTGTAACAGGCTGCTCAGATAATTTAAATTAACATAAAGTTACATTTATTTTTAGTTTTGATGTATTTTGGGGGGAAAAATGTAACAAACAAATTGATCCTTATTCCAAAACATTTATTTCTACTGACTCCATGGAAACCTTACGTACATTTTTAACGTTTCCCGTTTTATCTGCGTACATGATGATGGCGTTACTTTGTTTCAGTTCAGTCTCTCACGGCGGCGAGACGGTATCCCAAAAACAACCAAAAAACAACAAAATAAAAGTGTCTAAACTCTCGCCCGCTGTGCGTCCCGCTGGAACAACACTCAGTCACTCAGACCTCGGCACTCGGACTCCCCCCGCTGTCGTTCCTCGCCACTCCAGGAAGGTTTTAGGAAGTCTCGAACATCTTCTTCCTGTCTGCCTTATCCTCGATGTTCTTACGCCAGTCGCCCGCCTCCGCCCCCTGCAGACAACAGCAACGTGGACTCAGTGACAGATAACTAATGATTTAACATCTTAAGGACATTAATCTGAGTTCTGATACTTAAACATACATTTTATTTGTGAATTATTGAATAATTTTACTGCTTTACAGGTCATAAATGTTAAATTACCGGTTTAATCTTTTACAATGTGTCACATTTTATTATATTATATATATATATATATATATATATATATATATATTTATATTACTTTTATTTAGTTTCTGGACTTTTCTCTAATCTTTCATTTTATTTGTGAATTGTTTAAATAATTTTACTACTTTACAGGTCACACAGGTTGGGGGTCGCTGGTTTTATGAGCTTATTGAGTCTTTTTAATTTAAAATTTAATAGAAACTAGTTACTAAAGTTAGCAAAAAAATAACCGTCTATGAATTAATAAATATACTCTTCGAGCACAGGCAGTAAAACAGACCAAGTAAAATCAAATCATAGTCAAATTTTGAACTATTTTGAAGAAAAAAGTGTAATAAATTACATTTTTATTAAATTTGTAACTCTAATGAGCTTGTAAAAAGCGACACACTGTACAGATTAAACCTTTTTTAGTTGTAAAATGGTTAAATTTATTCAATATTTCACATATGAAATATTAAGAGAAAAGTCCATAAAATAAATGCAAATTTATGTATCAGGACTTTGTTTTTTCCCATTAATCATCTCACAACCCCTCAGATTCATCCGGTGGCCCTCTGGAGGGGCCCTAGCCTTATGTTGGGAACCACTGTGATGTGTCTGGACTCACCTCCTCTTTGACCTCCTTCTTGACCTGCTTCAGGTTGGCTCTCAGGTCCATGGTCACCTTGTGTTTGCCTCCCAGCAGGGCCTGCAGCATGGCGTCGGCGGACATACGCACTTTCTTCAGGGCAGGTTTCTTCACACCGGCCAGATCGACCACCTTCAGCTTCAGATCCTCAATCTGGAGGCAGAGAAACGTCACGTTAGTCCAGAACCGCTCGGGGAACATTAACGATGATTAACGACGACTAAAGCTAAAGCTACAATAACTGCTGAAAAGAGCAAGTATTTAAATGTACAGTGTGTAGTTTCTGCCACTAGAGGGTCTCTAACATCAAACAATAATAAAGAGGAAGTTTGATGAGGTGGTGAAGCAGCATGGGATCATGGGAGTTGGTGTTTTCACCATCATTGCAGTCAGCTTCTCCCGGTTAGGATTCCTTCAGTGTTCATGGTTCAGGAGGTTTCTACCGGGAGCCCAATGATCCACAGAGGTCTCCTCCTCTCCAACACAAACAGACCCGCTGATTAAAACCACTAAACACACTGAATAAAGCAGTTCCACCTTAAACACACTGAATAAAGCAGTTCCACCTTAACAATCACTGCTTCTCCCACGTTGTTGGACAGACAAAGGACGTCCCGGAGGGGCTGCGAGTCGAGCTGCTGCTAACGTTAGCTCAGTTTGTTTCTCTGATAATTTAAGATCCAGACGTCCGATGACTAAAATCCTTCATCCGGTTCAAATCTAGAGTTAAAAAGCACCAAGATCTAAACAGTGGATGGTAAACAGTCAGTGTGTGACAGCTTCTGGCAGACAACCACAACGCTGACGCAGGCACAAAGGGGATATGAATCCATCGACAGGCAACCGGTGAAACGCAGCGTTACCTGACTAAAATGACAGATTTCTCTGAGTTTGAACATTGTTGGAAACATTTGGGATAATGGAAGAACACAACTGATGTGTTGCTGGAGGAAAAATTGGTAAAAACATGAAAAAAGTGTCTCAAACAGACAGAAAGGAAGACAATTGCAGTCAAAAACACAGAATCCACCAACGACGACACTCTAAATGTTCTTATTAGGTAGAAATCAGCCTCCAATAAAGACAAACGACATCTTATTGACTAAACTAAAACACTATTCAGAGACTTCACGCCTGATTCTGAAGTCGTCACATCAGGTCGCTCTGTCTCTCACCTCTTTGTCGGACTTCTGCACTTTGGCCTCGGCGTCGTACCTCGCGTCGTCCACCTGGTCGATGGCTGTCGCGAGCTTCTTGCAGATCTCCTGTTGATGCACAAAACGAACAAACATTTATTCAGCTGTGATTTTTAATTATCCTAAACTGAGCTGAGACCATTTGAAAGGTTATCGAGACTTGATCAATACAATTCAGTTCAGTGGAAGAAGCACTTTGATTTCCAGAAAGCTCGCACAATATCATAAACAGTGGGTCAAGATAAGAATATTATTTATGTTTTATTGCAAATAAAGTAATTAAATAATAATTAATTTATTTAAATTGAAATATTGTGTTGAAATGTTGAAATTTGGGACAAAAAACCTGGAAATGTGAGTAAAAAAGAGGTAAAACAGGACCCATAAAGTGCATTAAATGCAGGTATTTATGGTAAAAACCATAAAGGTGAAACAAATGTGAGAATAAAGACACAAATATTCATTCAGTGGCCAAATTCAGACACCAAAAACCCCTAAATTTAGATAAAATATGACCCAAAACTCTGATATTGTGAGTAAAAGTAACGTTCACGTCAGCAAAAGTCAAAAAGTTTTATCATTAAAAATGTGCAAAGAGTTGGAAGTGAAGCTAATTTCATATTTATTATAAACTGCTGGGTAGTTTAATCTGTAACTATTCTTTAATAATAATTTGTATAAATAATCTCAAATCCACAAAGTAACTAAAGGCACCAAATCAATGTAGTGAAGTAAAATTAAAATAAAAACACTTAAGATTGTACTTTAGTATTAGGATGTAACATTTTCTATTTTTACTTCAGTAAAATATCTCAAAACTTCTTCTACAAACTAATAAACTTAAATATTAAAGGACCAGTTTGCAGGATTTAATGACGTCTAGTGGTGAAGTGGCAAATTGCAACTATCTGAACACTGCTCGCGTCTGTATTTTAAGTCTACGGTGGCTGAGAAACCAGAGTTTGGTTTGTCCGTTCTGGGCACAAAGACGCCGCCATCGTCTCACCTGGAGGGCGGCCAGGTCTCCGCCGAGGTCGGGGGTGGGGCAGTTCTCGGCCATGTAGGCCTCCTTCGCCGCCGTGATGTCCTTCTTCTCCTGCTCGATCCAGTTGGCGGCGATCTGAAGCATCAAACTCTGCAGGGAGGTGAAATAATAAAAAGGTTATAACGATGTTATAATGCTATAATGATGAAACTGAAAGGTAAATAAAGGATTTAATCTCACCTTCAGATGATGCCTGCGGCTGGACGTCATTTTCTTTCCCCTGTGAGACACAAATTAAAATCTCATTTTCTACAAATATGTTATTCTTAAAGTAGTTTTTAACTAGTTATTAAGCCGAGAACGAAAAGAAGTTTGGTTATTTGTATGTAATTATTCTTAATATCTGTGGATTCGGGGTCTGAACCGCCTTCATCCACAGGGGGCGCCAGAATCAACACAAGATTAAAATTCCTTGTAGATGCTTTAAAGAGGAATTAAACAATTACGGAATTAAACAATTACTGGAAACGGGGGGAAACAGCTAGCCGGGCTTTATCCAGGAGTAACGAATCTAACCTCCCTACTGGCACCATTTTTATCTGATGTTTATTTTCCTGCGTCTGATAATCCATAATTAAAATCAATCAATTAACACGTTAAAGCTGATAATAAAAAACACTTTTTGTTTGTATAAAAAATAAACGAGATATAATGTGTCAGCTTTAGAGGTTGCTGCTGGTAGTTCTTTGGACAGAGCCATGCTAGCTGTTTCCCCCCGTTACCAGTGTTTATGCTAAGCTAAGCTAACTGGCTGGAACTCTTCAGTATGGGCCCCTATCATTTAGAAACTTACATATTAGCATTATTTGAATAATTAGCACTAATAATCATTTTATGGACAATATTTGAGGGGTTTTAGGAGTTTTTAAAGAAGCTGACATTAATTTAGAGTTGATTTTGAGGTTATTTATATAATAACTGTGGGTTAATATAATTACAGTTTCCAGACACTCATATCTACAGAAATAAAGGTAATTTATCCTATTTCTCAATTTAAAAAGGACTTTATAAGCAAGTGCACAATTATTTTATACATATGAAGTATACACCCACAAACATGTATGTAAGAGCAGAAGAGGACAAACATTCATATTACAGCAACAGTCTGCTGCTGCGTCGGTTTGTCGTTGCGCTGACATACCAGGAACATGTGCTGTCATCCGAAGCTGTAGGTTGACCTTCTAACTCGACACATGTGTGCAGATCAGTTTATTTCAGCTTCACGGGCATCACGTCCCCGTCAGTGAAACATGTCAGCAGCTATTAGACTGATTCAGAGAGATCAGCGTCCAGCAGATTCATCTTAATGAATTACAACGTTTAGGCTTTTATTTTGAAGGTTTTCTGTCATAAAAGCTGAACTTTCAGATTAATTAGTTGTAATTTCCTTTATTTTTAGATGTTTATGATGTTTTTTTACCTCCTCTGCTTCCGGAAAATTATTTATTGATTGATTTTATGATTAAACTTTACAGTATATATATATATATATATTTTTTTTTTTAGCTTTTTTTCTGATATTTCCTAATGTGAGATGCTTCGTTTCACCACTGAAAACATCTGGATTTTGTCTGATAAATTATATTATATATATATATATTTTAAAATATAGGACAGCTGAAAGCACAGCTCAGTCTAAGTTAAAGTCTGGCCTTATTTTGAGACACTAATTTGTTCCTAATTATAGGGTAAATACAGATCCAATCACTTCACTCTAATTAAAATGCTTATGTAAACTCGTCATACATACAAAAATGGGAAGTTTCTCTACAGGCAGCTTGGAATTCAACATATATGTCAAATAAAGTAAGATAATTAATAATTTAATGAATAAAAGATTAATTATTCATAATTTATTGAGTTTAAATGCAGCTTTTCTACCAATAACAGCCTCTAAACTCAACAAAAGGAGCAAAATTTGAATTAAAATCTGTATTTTCTTTATAATTAGAACCAAATTGTTGTTTTTTTCCACTCATTGCATTGATGAAACCACCAAAACACCAACATTAGACAAGAACTAAACCTTTTATTCATATTTAAAAAGTAAATTTCAAGACTTGGCAACCTTTTCCTGATAAGACAGATTAATGTGATTGATCATCATCATTAAACGCCATATTGTGACACACTATCTGGGATGTACATGGTGTCTAAATCCAAAACTTCCTCACAGATTAACGGGGATTTACACACCTGTAAGTTTCCCCAGCCTCTAAAAATAAACAAATTAATGCCTAAAAATATAGAAATCACGAGCAGCTGCAACACTTTCTGTGACACTGATGGTTGGTGGAGCTCAAAGTAAAGAAGAAAATGTACTCACTCAGACATGTTGGCGGTTTGTGATCTTCACACCCTGTTCGGAGACAGAAAACATCAGTTAGTGACGAGCATGTTGAACATAAAGCACACTGACTCCCTCCAGAGCTCCCCGTTGCCTCCCTCGTTATTGATCCACAACCCTTTGACCCACAGCAGGGAAGGGAAACATGACACGCTTCACTAACATGGAAAACCGGCGATCACAAACCGGCTAATTTTGGACGGGCGGGGTCAGATATTCTGCTTGGAATTTAACCGTCTTACAGCGGGCCAACGATACGAGCCCGAAGAGGCCACCAGAGCAGGAACCAAATGTGGCCCCCGAGTATGCATTGAGAGCCGTTAACACCAATACCAACATCTTGCAGACACGCCAACCAGCTGACACCAGCGTGTCGACAACCTGTTCCAGATCACAATGTCAAGAATCAGAAACTATAAAACTTAAGAAAAAGAGGTCAAATTTGTGGTCAAATGTGCAGATTCAGGCTTTTAACATCTGGTTTCTCCATCGTTTATATCAGGATGTAACTGCTCACAAACGCTCACAACAAACTACATCCACATTTATAACAAAAAACTGTCCTAGTGCTTTTAAATTAATTATTTAATATTTAAATGAAGCTTTTCCTCAAACGAAACTACAATTTTCATTTAATTAGAACCAGATTGAATTAAGTTCTACCAAACAAATTTGCTGATTTGAGGTTTAAATTAAGCTTTTGCTCAAAGAAAATTTACTTTCTCATGTAATTAGCACCAAATTACATCGTTTTCTTTTACCTGAAAATCACAGACACGCAAACTAAAGTTGAGATTTTGAGCTGATTTTAAATCCAAGCTCTTAAAAACTAAACTACTATTTAATTATCAAACCATGCAAACTTAACAAAAAATCCAGAGAGCCAAAATAAAACAACACAGTGACGAATTCGCCTCTGGTTCACGTTTTAAATCCAAACTTCAACCTGCCCGAGCGTCCCAGAGTTACTTCGCCGCTCAGCGTCCTTCAATAAGTCCAACAGCTCTCTGATTCTACCTCCAAACACCTGAACGCAGCCTCCCAGGTCGGAGGTCACACCTGCAGCAGCACCTTTACAAACCGAGCTCTGCAGAATAAATTCACCTCTCTGTATTGTTTCCCTACTGGAGTTAAACGTAGCGGAGCCGGAGAGACTCTCACCTACTGAACGTGACGAGGAGGAGGAAGACGAAGAAGGGGGGGAGACACTGCCAAGTCCTAAACACTAAAGATTAAACAGGGTATATAGGATGTGAACCGCTCGCTCAGCAGAAAACTCAGCCCTCTTTATGGTAGCAGAGCCACTTCAGACCAATGGGCCGGCAGGCTCCAGAAATACCACAGCAACTCTCCGAGGAACCTCGTAAATTTCTGCCATAGGAAGTCCTGGAGGGACGCTATCGGGTTCCCCCCCACTGAGACACACAGTGAAAGGGGCCGTTGTTACACAACAGCGTCAGTGATTAATGCTCGCAGATCTTCTTTAAACCAGCAGCTTAACAGCCGCCGGTGCGAACACAGTGTGAAGCTGTGAAGTAGCAACGCAGGAGGAATCAGGGACGGCCGCTACCGACGCACATCAGACCCCAAAAACTGAGAGGATTTTATCTTAAAGCTTCTGGAAAGAACAAACTGACACACTGAATATCAACAACAGAGCTAATGTCCCTTAATGAGTGGATTTTTCTGCATTATTTATTCTATTTTTCCTTGTTTGTGCAGGTTTTTGGTTTGTTTGCAAATATTTTCTGTGCAAAACTAAAAAGATTTGGAAAAAAACACCAAAACGTCTCATTAAACAAAAAAAATCTAAATGTTTATAACTATTAATAGTTCAAAAGACACATTTAGACAGCCAAAATCAGTGTTTCCCAATTTTCTTTCTATCTGTGGTTTCGTCATTAAACATTAATTACTTACTTAATTAATTAATTCACAGTGAGAGGAGACAATCTGTACATTAATGAAGGTTTCCTGATCATTATTACTGCTGTTTCTGCTTCACTTCATATTTTCTTAAAACAGGTAAAACAACATTATGAAGAGATAAACATGTCTGAACTTCAACTTTGTCATCAGTAAAATAATGAACACATTTTACGGTACTAGTGTAGGAGAATGAGGGTCAGGTGATGTTAACGTTATCCATCATTAATCGTATCAATAAGTCTAATTCTAGTAAAGTTGGAAGTTATTAGGGGCCGAGCCAGTGTCAAACACTGTGAGGTCTCTATTGTTACTGCTATGTTTATTATTATTACGCTAAGCCCTTTTCTCTGCATTTGACCCCCTGAACATTTATTTGGCAAAGTGGTCAGGCCTGGTGAAAAATTGCATATTCTATGCATCACATTCGACTTGGCCACTAGGTGGCGCTACTATTAAGAAAAGTAGGTTTAGGCTAATAACTCCCGCATCGTTTGTCGCACATTCAAAAAACGTATATCCACGCGTTCGGTGAATGGAGCTGTATCTTCCTATATAGGCCACGCCCACTTCTGCCTAGATTTCTTTTCGCTAGAGCGCGAAATGTCCATAAACTACGTTTACGTGTTCCATCCATGCGCTTTTGTCCAATTTGCACGAAACTTTGGACATAGCATCTGGAGACCGTCCTGGCAAAAAAAGTAATTTAAAGTATTTTGATATTTCAAAAAATAAGCACGTTATAAAATTAGCACTTCCTGTTGATTTTTCGTCAAAAAAGGAAGTGGGGTATTTCTCCACATTGCTATGTCCGATTGACACCAAGCTTGGGTCAATATTTCTTTATGTCTTCCTTAGGCATCGTGCACAATTTCAGGCCATCACCACAAGGTGGCGCTCTTTAAAACGAAGAAGTCTATATCTGCACATCGGCAAGTGTGATTAAAATGAAACTTGGTACAATGATTGCCCATGGCCCCCTGAGGCTCACCTAAAAAGGAAAAAAAATCTCCCCCAGTGGCGCTCTGGTGGCAGTGTAAATCACTGTGCGGAGACCATAATAGTTATGAATATGAAATTCATAGAGCACGTGTAGAGTGGTGCCTGAAGCTCACATACCAAAAATCATGTTTGTCGTGTTTGTAGCGCCCCCTACAGGATTTCAACAAAGCAGCCCCGGCGCCACGTTTCACCAATATGTATGAAACTCAGTAGGCACGCGTAACGTGCCAACACCTACAGAGAGGGCCATGCCCCAAAACCCACAGGAAGTCGGCTATTTTCATTTTCATTTTTACTTTTTTGGCTTGTATTTGAACTCCTCCTAGGGAATTTATCAGATCTGCTTAAAAATTGGTCAGTACATTCAAAAAGTGTTACTGATTAAAACTTGCACAATTTGCGACTGTATGTTGAAGGGCGTGTCTGTGGCGTGCCGTCAAAGTTGGCCAGCTTGAATCGAATGTCAAGCTGTGATGCCGTTTCCGGCATTTCAGGGCTTCAATTTTAACTAACTCCTCCTACAGATTTTATCGGATTGACTTCAAATTCGATCACTGCAATCTAGACACATTGGTGATCAAAAGTTAATCAAATATTTACTGTGCGTCAAACGGCGTGTCCGTGGCGTTGCGTTGAATTTCCAAGAATCTCGCTATGAAAGTGTATGTCTTTTGCACGGTGTCTGAAACGTGTGACAATGTAGAGTGGTCTCCCTCAGCTTCTGTTGTGAAGGCTTGAGCAAGGGGTGACGTGGCGTGGCGCCTGAGTTGTGTGGAAGGCGAGTTCCCAATGCTGCTTGCAGCTTTAATTTATTCTTTGTTACGAGACTTTAAATAAATTAACCAAACGTTCAGTCTCCTTTCTGGTTTTTCCTTCAGTTTCAGAATAATTACCTGTTTCATTTAACAGGCAGAAGTTAAGATATATATATATATATAAATTATTAAACTAATGTCATAAATGTTCAACAAGTTTTAATATTTACTGTATTTATATGTGTGTTTCTGTTAAATACAACGTGGATGTTTTTTAAAGTGACTTTCAGGGTGAAATCGAGAGTTCAGTGATAAAAATTAAAGTGCGAAGAGGAAGAGAAAGTTACTCACCATTCGTCGAACTTCACGTCACTCCGGCTTTTTGTTTGTTTCTTTGTTTCTTTGTAAAACTGATGAAAATATTTTGGTGTGAAGCCACATTTAATGAGTGAGAGATGATCCAGCAGAGAGGAAGAGAGAGAGAGAGAGAGAGAGAGAGAGAGAGAGAGAGAGAGAAAAGGCTCTCTGCTGACATCTGGTGGTTGACTGCGAGCATAACGCCCACTTCACTACAATATAAACCCACATTTCTCTACACTGGAAGCAGCTTTTCCTATTTCTATGACCTTTAAATCTGATCAGATAAACACCAACATCTACCTGCTTCAACAGAAGTAAGAGAATAACACAAATGTTAAAGAAAGTTAACCCCAACTCAACCTTTTCAAACTTCCAAACATCGTCTGGAAAAAACTGCAGTATGACAGCGTTTCCTTATTCCAAAAAAAAGATTTAATTTAATGGCACGAGTTTTTTATATTCCATGAAAAGGGTCAGATGTGGGAAAGAGAGGAAGTGAAAGTCTTTTAGGAAGTCTCGAACATCTTCTTCCTGTCAGCTTTGTCCTCAATGTTCTTACGCCAGTCGCCGACGCTGTCGCCACCCTGAAGGAAACGAACAGAGTCAACACAGCTCCAACGGCGAGTTCATGTCTGAAGTAGGGATGTCACGGGAAACCGATACTCCGGCACCAAGTCCTTACCAGTACCGGTTATTCCGGATCGGCCGGTAGCGGCTTCAAACTATGCTGAAAATGTCCCCAAATTACGTCTGATTGGATTTTTTAAGTCAAAATTACCCGAAACGACTGGATTCAGGAGGAATTTAGCACCCAGATGCTGCGGTCGCTAAGCTAGTTCCTTCAAACTTCTCTGTTTTTATTTGATCTGTTTTCTGCTTTATTGTTCAAACACGTGTTATCTAAGACAGAAAATATTCTACAGTGATCAGAACAGGAAGCATGGTGTTCGCCTTAAAGAGCAACTCCACCAACAGCAGCTGCTGATTGCCCCAAGAGGAAAGGTAGAGAACCGGAGAGAAACCATGGCGGTTGCTCCTGGATAATGTACGTTTTTTGGATAAAAGTTTACAGAGACCTGCGCGACAAACATCCCGGATAATATATGTAAATAACTATAAACATTGTTTTATTTATAGTTATCAATTGTCAGTCGGCTGTTAAACGGGTTTATTCTGACAAATCGGTGCCTTTTTCATCCCTTGGATACAAATTTTGTCTCAAAATGACCACAAACCTGTGATAGAAACTGAAGGCGGAAATACTCTTATAGGTTATTGATCTGCAGACAGTCGATATAAAAACGAAACCAACAGGTATTGATGGAATTTGACTGGTACTGGTACGAACTGGTGTTGTGACATCCCTTCTCTGAAGTGAACCGGTTGTCTCACCTCCTCTTTGACCTCCTTCTTGACCTGCTTCAGGTTGGCTCTCAGGTCCATGGTCACCTTGTGTTTGCCTCCCAGCAGGGCCTGCAGCATGGCGTCAGCGGACATACGCACTTTCTTCAGGGCGGGTTTCTTCACTCCAGCCAACTCGACCACCTTCAACTTCAGCTCCTCGACCTACAAACACACAGATGGAAAGTTCTTCAGTTTGGAGCCTTCTTTAACTGTAATAGTTCTTATTATAAAGGGAGAGTCTCGTTCTCGATTTCACATGAAGTCCAACCACACTCCATTTTAAAAAACTGTAGTTTTACCTCGTTGATAATCGTAAAACAGACTTCAAACTGCACAGAAACATAATAAAACTCACCAAAACCACCTTTTTTTAGTCTTTCCAACTATCACTAACACTGATTTGATCGAAATAAAACCCTTAATTTACTGACTTATATGTGAAAATACAAACAGTGGCGACCAAACAAAACTAAAAATTGCTGTTTCTGCCACTGACAGACTCAGGTTGTTATTGTCAGTGTCTGACAGCATTATGGAAAGGATCCCTACAGAGATAGACCTTTAGTTTAACCACAAACAGCCGTAATATCACTATCACTCTCCACCAGACTCCAGAGACAAAAACACTAATTTTACCTTCATCTCAACATTGTAACTTCTTTTAAAGTGGACAGAAACAAAATCAAAATCAAAAACAGTCTTTGTTAGTCTTTCAAACAATGATTTACTCTGGTTTGGTGGAAATAAATCCTTAATTCACAAATTAGATGATAAAATATTGTGAAAAGAGCTGCAGTGTAAGCTAATGTTAATCCTCGTGCCTGTACAGTACAAAAACAGACCTTCTAGAAACGAGACAAATATTCTCAAATATAATCAAATGTTTCCGGTTTAACGGCGTCAATTTTTTTAACGTTCTTTTTGGCCTAGCACACTTTGTAGTTTTTTTCACATGCTGTTGCAACAACTAGTAACGTTAGAAAAACTACAACACCACACCGGATCTAGCTAGACCGGAAACAGAACAACAGGCACGCCGCACACACTTGTTTAAGAGTAGTAGACGTTACGTATTGAGTGGATAGCGAGCGTGAGACGCCGAAATGGATGCCAATAATATTCTGAATGGAAAGTTTTCTTTTAAAAAGTTGCCAAATGGTTCCATTGACAAGACCAAAGTGATCTGTGTGTTCTGTCGTTGTGAACTGAGCTATCATCGCAGCACGTCCAGTCTGAAATACCACTTGATGGCCAAGCACACAGCTGATGCGAACTCCGCCCCCTCGTCAAAGCCAGGCGACAATGGATGATTTTTCAATAAAAACAACATTTGCACAAAGCAAGCCGATCCACTTTTCCATTAAAATGAGAAAAAATAATGGGACAAAAAGAAATCAAGGGACATTTAGAATAGATAATAATGTGCGATTAATTGCGAGTTAACTATGACATTAATGCGATTAATCGCGATTAAATATTTTAATGGTTTGACAGTACTAGTTTCTGGTATTCAGAAATAAATCTGCCAGCGAGGTAACACAGTTTAGCTTGGCTATAATTCTTAAACCTAGCATAAAACTCTAACTTTCCGTTAAACTGAGAAGGTTTTACTCTGCTTATTAAGACAAATTTTCTCCAAACAAGATAACTTTTCCAAAGCAAAGCAGAATATTTTTAATAAATAAGAGTAATTTCCCAGATTTTTTTGCAGAAAATTAAAGTTTAGGATTATAATTTAATGGTTTCACACAGATTTGGGTTCAGTTTACTCTTTAAAAAGTCACATTGAAGCCTCTACCTCTTTCTCTGTCTTGACCACTTTGGCCTCGGCGTCGTATCTGTCCTCATCGATCTTGTCGAGGGCCTGGAACAGCTTCTTGCAGATGTCCTGTAGATAAAAGACACTGTGTCACACACTGAGCTCCTCCTCCTCTTCCTCCTCCTCCTCCTCTTCCTCCTCCTCCTCCTCCTCCTCGCTTCAGGACTGTTTATTTGTGCGTATTTACCACCAGAGCCGCCTGGTCTCCGCCCAGGTCGGGGGCGGCGCAGTTCTCCGCCATGTAAGCCTCCTTGGCGGCTGCGATGTCGGTGGCTTCCTGCTCCAACCAGCCTGCAGCGATCTGCAGCATCAAACTCTGCAGCACACAAACACAGAGAACTTATTACGGCCCAGAAAAGGGTTTTTAACTACAATAGCTAGCTAGTTACAGCAGTGGTTCCCAGCCTTTCTCCTGTTCAGTGAGTAAACTGATATAGTTTATGGATGTTTCATATTATATTCAGTGCAACAATTGATATAAACTGAACCACTGAGCTTTAATATATCACATTATAAAGCCGTTTAGCTAACATGGTAACAAGCAAATGATCCAGCAGACACACAGCAACATTATCATTATTATGTTTGTGGACAATAAAGAAACTGTGAGCTACCTTGAGATGATGCCTGCGGCTTGATGTCATTTTCTTTCCCCTTTAATGAATGAAAATATTAATTAACATGTTTATAACTTGTTTCCCTTTTTTATTAAATTAAATCCAGATTGTAGAAGTTTCTGTCGTGGGAATGAAAACTGATACTTACTCAGACATCTTGGCTGCTTTTTAGTTTCAGACTCTGTAAAATAATCAGAAGAAGACCGTTAAAGTGGCACATTGTTCTCATTATATGAAAGGTTATTCTCTCAGTTTGTACACAGTTATTTCTAATAATCTACAAACTGACATATTTTATGGATATTATATCTTATATTAAAAACTGTACAATGAACCAAAACAGTGTACTCAGTAACGAGTGATTTTGATGCATTTTGAGCAGAATATTTCCTGTTTTAGGAAACCTTTTATATAATTCTCTGTCTGTATTATGTATATTTATTATTTTTAATAATCATACAGACTTAATAAGCTTATTTTCTTTATTTTGTAGGCGATCCAAGCAGCTTAGAAATCACTCAAGCGACTCAGTGGGTTTTAAGAGGTTTTATACATCCAGATAATTAAGGCCTCTAATTGATACACCAGGCTAGTAAAGGAGACCTGCTTCTAACTGAAGTTTTATGGTATTAAGAAAACTCAGTAAAATGTGCAGCACACTTGTCTCTCTAATATAGGATCTAAAATTAATTCTTAAACCTGAGGGCCTCTGGGGGCCCCTCTGAAGGTTCCAGGGGACTCGTGTGCATTTGGTCATTTCTCTGATTTAAAAATAGAAACTTCAGTATCCGAGCCAATCGGGTCAATGCTAATCCTGGCTCAGGGTCAAAGGTCAGAGGTGACATTTATGATGATTTCTTTATGAGCGGTAACTCATTTTATTAGCTAAACATTCAGTCACTTAATAAACAAAATAAGGCATTTACAACCAAACTCCATTCATATTTCTACTAATTTTACCTCGTTGAATTTAACAGCTTTAGATTTTATTTACCAAACTGTAAACGAACCAGATTTTAAAAGACGTTTTATTATCATTATTATTATTATTATTATTAGTAGTAGTAGTAGTAGTATAACTTAATAACAGCAGTAAAACTCTATTTAAATCTGTAAACGCAGAATGAGATTTCTGGTGGTTCAGTTTGAAAGATGCTGTTTGCAGCATCAGTAATTACGGATGCAATCACCTGTCAGCTGTAATCTGATATTTGGGTTATTTTTCACCAACAGGTAACCGGATACTCCGGCAGTTAAATGAGAAAGAAAAAGCAGACTTGGAAGCAACCAAAAGACTTTTTGCATGAATGCAGAATTGATAAAACAAGAAGAAATCCAGTCTTGTCTTAAGTACGTAATAGATGAAAAGACTAGTGCAAGAAGGCAGAAAATAATCCCAAATATAGAAAAAATAAGACTCTGCACACACATTTTTAGTAATATTAAATACTTTTCTTGGACTTAAGTGAACAAAATCCTCTTTTTTTCCCCGCAGTTTTTTGTAAACTTAAAAACAAATAAAATGATATAATCACTCAACTCCCAACAGAGTCACATAATAACATTTATAAATACTTGAATTTAAAGAGGAAACACAAGGATGTCCTCTGCAACCGCGCAGTGTTTCCCCACAAAATCCACAAAGTAAAAGAGTTTCTCACCTACAACAGTGACGATGAGGAGGGCGGCAGAGACTGACAGAAGGACAGTGAGGGAGTCACGGACTAAAAAGTGAAATCTGCGGGGGTATTTATGTGCTTGGACAGGGATTCGGAGGTTCCTCTGTATGGCCATGAGGAACTCTTGAGACCAACCCAGGCCAATGAGCTCCTGAAATACCTTCATCCTTTGACCGCTCACCTCGTAAATCCTGCTGACGTCGGCTCTGTCCGAGGTGGTCAGCAGTCCTCAGGACAAGGAGAGAGCTGGGAAAAGAGAAATTATGAGAATTCGTGGAACTGGATGATGAGAAAAATGTTGATGATGAAATTAACAAAATAAGAGACGTTGTTGTTGTTGTTGTTCTCTCAGATGTTTTAACTGCTCACACTGTAAATGTCTGAATTCTTTTAGCTTGTTTATCTGCTTCACTGTAAAAACAACAGCTGAGAAACAATTTCAAAGGTAATTCACTTCTTCACTAAGTTTTAAGTCAAACTCAAACAATAAACTTTAAATAAACTTGAATCTTTGAGATTTGGAAACAAAAAGGTCTGTATTGTAGAGAAAATTAATTAACCGTTAATAAATATATATATAATTTTTTTTTTTTTTGTTGAAATCACTCATTTTCCTTTTTTTCTAAATTAAAGCTAACTAAGAAAAGTAAATTGTCACAAACAAAAGATTATAAGTTTGGAAAACATTTTTTGTGCCAGATTTCCTCTGTTCTGATTTTACATGTTTGTTTTGTTGTTGATTTAATGATTTAATGATAATGTTAGCTAACATTTATATTGATTATTGTGTCCTTATTATTGCGCCCTGTTTGTCTCTGTTAATAAAACAAAGATTGATACAAAACTTATCTGCACTGAGGAGAAGCAAAAAAATTATAACCAGGTCCAGAAATGATGTAGAAAAGGCTGCAAAGATTAAATTTACTGTATTTTACCACTGTTAACAGTAAAAACATACAGAGTCATGAAGAGACAATGAGACTTAAAAACTTACCTTATTTTTTGTATTTGTGCTGCTGCACTTCATCCTGGATTCAGACACTGGAAATACAACAGGAATATAAATTAAAAACAAAACAGTAAAGATCAACAACTTCACTGACTGCAGGTAACATTTACTGAATGTCTGATCAGAAATTTCTGCAACATAAAACCTTAAAAAAACATTTATTAGAAAATCAAACTGTCGCTCACCTTCTGTTAGACCGAACCATCTCTGATCAATAAGGTCGATCAGGAAACAATCACATATTCATCAATTGAGGAACAAGGTATAGAAACCTTCTAGTAGAAATTAAATGACATTTAAAAAAGTGCTTTTATAAAGTCGTTTTGATGTCATTCAGTAACTAATCATCAGATATTAGTTATTAACTATATTCAAACCCTATTACAATCATTAATCAAATGGAGACTTTATAAAACAGTAAAATAAAATGCATTAAAAAAAAACTCCCATTTAAACAAAAAAATGCATTAATCTTATTTTTCATCAGGCACTTGTGATAGAAACATGTTGTGATTTAAAGAATTTGAATGAATTTGCTTTTAAACAAAATTTTAAATGTTTTGCAGATTAAAAACAGTGAGATACAGGAAGTGCTCTGCTGACACCATGTGGTCGAAGCAGGCGACACTTTAAATTATTATTAGTAAACATTTATCAAATAGTTTACAACACACTATAATGTGGTTGTAAGCAGATACATTTTTAATTAATTTGACTCCTACTGTTGAGGCTGCTGCATAAACATAAATAATAATAATACAGTAAAACTAATTCTATAAAATATGTCCTCAAAGGAGAAGTTGTTATTAATAAGAGTTAAAATGTCACTATATGAACCTTGTTGTGCAAATACATAACAGCGTGTAAGCCTTTATTTAATGTGTAAATAAAGGATTTAAGTGTTACTGAACATATTTATATGCAGGTCTGAAGTAGTGATTCCTTGACATCAAAAAAAGGTTTGAAACTGAGTGAAAATACATAAAAAGTATTAAAGCTATTTTATGTAAAATTATTTAAAACTGTACTCTATGATATAAAAAAACCCCTGAATATTATTTTAAAAATGTCACATTACACACAATATCTATAAATGTATATTAAAAATATGGTTTAAAATCTTATATAATATTGATTTGAGCGTAGACTCAAAGTTCACTTACTTGCTTTTTTCTAGAGCTTTTGACAACAGGACCAAGTTAATTTAACTCAAAATATTGTTGAAAATTATTAAATCAAAGACTTTTAAGTAAAACTAACAACATTTTGTAAGTTGAAAAAACATTCTTGATCAAGTAGTTTTAGTCATTTTAAGTGGGACTGACTTTTTTAAGTTAATGTCACATAAAATACCAATAAAAGCTGCTTAATCAATTATCAGTTTGAACTTAAAAAACTGAGTTCGTGTAACTTAAAATTTTCGATGTTATCAGTTTCAACAATTTTTTGTGATTCAAAATATTCATAAATATATATAATAATCGGATTACAGTGAAGGGAACTATGTACGAAGCTTTAAAAATGTGCTCTAAAGAAGGTGGTGGGATATGGTCGAAAGCTCTGGGGAAGCCTTGAAGTGAACTTTCAGACATTTTATCATTTTGTTCTTGCAGCAGAAAAAAAATAAAAGTATTTTCAAGAATCTATTAAGCAACATTCACTTTTCACAGCTCCCTGAACTCTGAAATATGTAATAAAAATATAAAATATAACTATGAAAACATGGATATTGTGTCTTTCACTGACAAACACAGCACTACAAAGAGTACAACACAACCTCGTTAAAGCTTGAAACCACCTTCAAACAGAACTTCTTATAAAATTTAGTGACTTTAATCTGACTTTCAGATCTGACAAACCTAAAAAGAAGAGCGTTAGTTCTGTTTAAAGGCAAGTTTTTCTTTAACGTGACAAAAACAAGCATAAAAACAAGCTCAACGTCCATCTGGAACTGAACTTTTGGTTCCTCGAGGTCATTTAAATTTGATCCAAGGTGTGTCATGCACTTCGTCTGCAGTGTTGTGCGTCACCGAGTCAAAGACAGAATACCTCATGACAGTGGATGTAGGAAACAAAACACATTTATTACAAAAACACTACGAGCAGGAAGTTGTCAAAAGTGATTATAAGCACAGAAGCAAACAGGAAGTCTACAAACACTACAAAATAAAAGTCTGATATAAGCTTGAAATTAAGGATGGGCCATTTCTACTCCAAACCACTCGCTTTACAAATGTACAATAACAGACCAAGCTGAAACTGACAGATTTAATGAAACAATTCAATGAAAAATTCCATAAATTCCATAAAAAGTGCTAACGGCCCAAAGCAACTACAGGAGTTAAGTTCTTTAAGAAGCCTCGAACATCTTCTTCCTGTCAGTTTTGTCCTCAATGTTCTTACGCCAGTCACCGACCGCCTCCCCAGCCTGCAAGACACAAACAGTTCACAGTCAACAAGTGTCATTAATCGTCTTTTAATCCGCTCTTTGTACCTGTCCGACTGCCCTCCGTTAAGAAAAACTCACCTCCTCTTTCACCTCCTTCTTGACCTGCTTCAGGTTGGCCCTCAGGTCCATGTTGACGGTATGTTTGGAGCCCAGCAGAGCCTTCAGCATGGCGTCGGCGGACATACGCACTCTCTTCAGAGCGGGTTTCTTCACTCCGGCCAGGTCGACCACTTTGATCTTCAGGTCTTCAATCTACGAACGACCAAGCAGTTTAAAAAGGTGAAACTGAGCCAACGGTGAGTCTCAAATCTCATGAAAAGACCAACAGTTAATTCATTCTACTAACAAGTATTATGAGCCTCATATATCTTATTCCTCTGTGCCTAAGAACTGTTGCTATGAAGGGGAACAAATCATTATTCCAAAACCCCAATAGTCAGAAAAATGTCCGATTGGACCGAAAACCCATTTAAGGGACGGACTGAAAATATGTGAACGCTCTCCCTGGAGTTCTGGACGTTTGTCATCATGCTAACAATAATCAAGACGTAGTTAACGTTGTGAAACGGTCGCAGCTTGCTTTGGTTTGGGCACCAAAACTACTTGGTCAGGTTGGAGAAACAGAATTTCAGTCTGATGGTCAAGCACTTTGCACCAGACTGAAATATCTCTCAACTGTTGGCTGGATTGTCAATGAGCCACACTGTTGCTATGGTGGGGGGACTGCGCATTATTCTGACAGGCCAATTTTCCGAAGATCTTAATATTCCAAAACGGTGCCATTGGGCCGAAAGCCCTTTGAGCCATTGCTTTTGGACTATTGGGGTTTCGGAATAATGGGTTGTGGGAACAAAACCAAATGTGGATAAATCTACCGCTTGTTATTAAAATCTACAAGTTTGAGTTAGAATAGTTTGCTGGAGTATAAACACAACGAGCCTGTAAAGGCAGACTAGATAAATCTCTGTGTTTTAATTTCACCGACAACCCATCCTCTTATTTAGCCACTTGTTAGCAACTGACTTTGTTAAGACATGTAAAACATTCACACGTGGGGTATTTACTGATGTATATTATGTCGTAGAATAAAATCTCTTAAGCTTGTTAACCACAGATGTTATTTCAGACATTTAACCAAAAACCCATTTATAAATCCCACTGACTTTGAGGACAGGGTACCAGAAGTGCTAAAATGCTAACTCATTTGGGGTTATTAGGAATCATTCCTGCAGCACAGACAGCCACAGACAGGGTGGGGAAATCATAAAATAGCACATTATTGACTTTTGGTCTCTACATGGGATTATAGTAGTGTCTTCATTTAAAACCACTTGGTGATGCAATCATATCCGTAATTTTTTGCAACAAAGAAACAAACAGTGTCATCTTGGATCAATTACTTAAAAAGCTACCACAGCTACTGCGTTAACTTAAAGTGACAATACCCCCCCCCCAAACAGAAACAGAAAGCAGCAAACATGAACACAATGTCCGACCGTATGATGAAGTGAAATATAAAGGAAATTCAATCTGATTATCAGGCTATCATGGATACCCTCATAAATGTTTTGAGCTCTGACTTGTACCTCTTTATTAGCCTTGCCCACTTTGGACTCCATGTCGTACCTTTCTTCATCCACTTTGTCGATGAGGGCGGCCATCTTTTTGCAAGTTTCCTGAAGACAGACAGACAGACACTTGTAGTTCCCAGAAGTAATGTTCCCGTCAGGATGATTTGTTAAACCCAGTCATTGTCATCTATTGCCATTCTGAGGTTAAAATAATTTATTTTATGACCAAAACTAATGTCATCCTCAGCTGTCTAGTGCTAATTAGCATATGTTAGCTAACCCTGCTGTCTCTAAGAACAGCCTCTTAAAGCCGCATGCATGGCTTTGGACTTTTAGTTTTGTTTAACACAGTCTGCAAAGTTTTTGTCTAATAAAAGTTAACGTCATCAGCGTAACATCAGATAAAAACAATTTTGAACAACTATATTGGTTGTGCTCAAGTTGTTGCATAATTAGAATGGCTCAAGTTTAGAATAATGCCAGTCAAGTATAAGCCTTCTATTCTATTTTACTGTATATATTTTTAGTATATTTTTGTGTTTTTTTGTTGTATTTTTCGCTATTTTCTTTACTCTTTGTACTATGTACCCGTGCTGCTGAGCTAAATTCCCATATGGAGGATTAATAAAGAAACATATCATATCTTATCTTCTTTAATCTAATGTTATGGCAGTAGTTGCGATTACCTACACACTGATTAAAATCATTTCAATTGAAGATTTCAGGGTACCAAAAGTGTTGAATACATCACGCATTTTGTCTTCCTGAACCGCTACCAACACGGATTCATTAATTTTATTCTTGGATTTGTTTGAAATTGGTCATTATTTCTTATTTTCCCACCATCTATGCATCCAATAACGTTCAGTTCTTTAAGAGTATCAAAAACAAACTCTCCACAGAGGCATGAAGCCATAAAGTAATCAGGTTAAATCTTTTACATGGTACATTTTTTCCTTAGATTGGTTTATGAAAAGGTTGAAACTGCCCTTCGCAACCAGTTTCAATCAGTTTAATTCTGATTGAGCAGGTTATATGGAGCATTTTTTATACAGTTTGGGCTTTTAAACTGATTATCAGTCCCTCCAGAAAAACGCGTAGTTTTTTTGTGATTGTTTTTTTTTTGTGATTATGCGGCACGTTTTCTTAAAAAATGCGATGGAATATGCAGGATATTTATGCAATTTAATGCGATGAAATTGCAGGGATTATGAAATCATGCAAGCCGCGCAGATTTTGCGCAGAAATCGTCAATTTATGCGGTGAAAGTGCGGCGTATTTGAAAAAATGCGGCCCCCGCATAAATATGCAGACTTTGGCTGATTATGCATTGAATTACGCGATCGCATAATCACGTTTTTCTGGAGGGACTGGATTATAATCAAAAATATCAGGTTCCATGTTAAATTTAAGTCCTGCACGATATGAGGAATATCTACAATGTGCAATAACTCATATTGCAATGACAATATAAGTCACGATAAACATTAATTGAAGTGTGCATATTAGCTATACAGCCATAATAAAATACTCCAGTCAACGGCTGAATACCCGGTTTCTGTACCCATCCCTACATAAAATTATTATTCTCATTCATCGCGTTTCAGGCAGTCTTGCCGATGAAAATGCGATTTGTTGCTCAGCCCTAAAGGGAAGCTGTAGCGTCTCTCACCATGAGGGCGGCCTGGTCTCCACTCAGAGAGGGTGATGGACAATTCTCAGCCATGTAGGCCTGCTTGGCCACTACGAGTTCCTTTTTCTCCTTTTCAATCCAGGTCGCCGCGATCTGCAGCATCAAACTCTGCAGGACAGAAAGAGTGAGAGTCGATGGTCAGTAAAAGAAGAAAAACTGTGTTTCATTCAGTCGTTCGCCAGGTTTCAGGTCGCATGTGAGGAAAGTTTCTCTATGTGCACAAACATTCAATTCTGCACATAAAGAACTGATCAAAATGTGTTTTTAATATGGAACAATTTGCATTTTTAAATTCAAAATTCCGTCTGTCACCAGACTTTACTACAATAAAAACCAAACAAATATACAAAATTATCACTATGTATTAAATAATTTTATTTTTTAGCATTTCTTGGTCACAGAGTTATTCTTTGGTTGTCACTACTAGCTGCATTTTATGTTGATGAAAAAGAAATAAAATTCTATTCTCCATTTAATTCAATATCAGTTTGACCCTGAGCCAGCAGAGGTTAAAACACTGAATCACTAACAACAACAAACACATGATGGAAAATAATTCAATTATCAGCAAATATATCTGTAAAATCACAGTAAAATCTTCCAGTTCGTGGTTTTCCAATTTAAAAGCTTTGATTTATGATATTTTCCTACTAATGGAAAGAATCACAGAGCAGCTGAGAGTCAATCAAACTGGACTTCCCATCACTGCAATGATAATAAAAATAATAAGAAGAAGAAGACGTTCAATCTCTTGACTGATGGAGGATATTTTTCACAGCTGAAGCAGAGCAGCAATAAAAATCTGAGGTTCAAATTTAAAGTATGGATTTTATTTTATAGGAAATCATCTTAACTTTTTTTTAATTGTTTTTTCTTGTCTTGTTTTCTTGTTTTCTACTGGCTCTGATTTTAATTAAATGACTGTGCTGCCTGAACCTCTTGTTAAAATAAAGTCAAGACTTAGAAACTTATTCAACTTTCGGTCTGAAGCACTTTTTGTGCACTAACTTCCACTCTGCTTTTTAAATAGTAAAATCTTTAAATACAATGAAACACTTTGTGTGTTTGACAGTTTCCACCAGCAGGTGGCGCCTCATAGCTTTAAACTGCCTCCGCTCTGACAGCTGATGAAGATGAACAGACTCCACAACGTGTCGGTTCAATCTGAGGTCAAATACAAACTACAATCTGAGAGGAAGATTAAAAAGGCTGAAACCAAAAACAACAACAACAACAACAGTACACTGCACTACAGAGGCATGTCATTAACTACAGTACTGCCACAGATAATCAATAATCACAACTCTGAGAGTTGAGAGTAACACATTTAACCATAACAACCTCAATTTCATCTGTAATATACACAATTTAATGCTGTAATGTAAACTTACTGATCAGTTGTCTATTATCAATAATCAGATATCACAGAATTGAATGATGTTTAAAGACTAAGTTTAACATGTATCAATATCAGTCGATCAGTATCATTATCAGTCGATCAGTATCATTATCAGTATCAATATCAGTCGATCAGTATCAATATCAGTCGATCAGTATCATTATCAGTATCAATATCAGTCGATCAGTATCAATATCAGTCGATCAATATCAGTCGATCAATATTATTATCAGTATCAATATCAGTTGATCAGTATCAATATCAGTCAATCAATATCATTATCAGTATCAATATCAGTCGATCAGTATCAATATCAGTCGATCAGTATCATTATCAGTATCAGTCGATCAGTATCAATATCAGTCAATCAATATCAGTCGATCAATATTATTATCAGTATCAATATCAGTTGATCAGTATCAATATCAGTCGATCAATATCAGTCAATCAATATCATTATCAGTATCAATATCAGTCGATCAGTATCAATATCAGTCGATCAGTATCAATATCAGTCGATCAGCATCATTATCGGTATCAATATCAGTCAATCAGTATCAATATCAGTCAATCAATATCAGTCGATCAATATCATTATCAGTATCAATATCAGTCGATCAGTATCAATATCAGTTGATGAATATCAGTCGATCAATACCATTATCAGTATCAATATCAGTCGATCAGTATCAATATCAGTTGATGAATATCAGTCGATCAATATCATTATCAGTATCAGTATCATTCGATCAATATCAATATCAGTCGATCAATATCAGTCGATCAATAAAGCTCCGATAATAAAACTCCACTGTACCTTCAGATGATGCTTGCGGCTCGAAGTCATTTTCTTGCTGCAAAGATCACAAACATCATCATCAGAGAAATAATCGTTTATCTACCGATCAATTTATTGATTAATGTCAACATGAATGTTAAATTAAAAGGTTTCTTTCCTTTCTTTCTTCATTGAATCCTTCAGTCTTCTTTTTAAATCCTTCTTTAATTCTTCTTTCGTTCCTTCCTGTTCTTTTTCATACTTTCCCTTTTTATTTCCTCCAGTATTTCTTTATTCATTCCTCAATTCTTTCAGTCCTTTCCCATCCTTCTTTCCTTCTTTCAGTCGCCTCTCTATATATTCACGTTCCCTTTTCTCTTTACTTTCTCTCTTTCTTTAACTCTCCCTTTATTCCTTCCGCCATCCTTTTCCATCCTTTCTTTCCTTTACATCCTTCTTGTCTCTTTTCTTTCACCCTCCCTTCCTTCTGTAGTCCTTTTCTATCCTTCTTTCCTTTCTCAATCTTTTCATCCTTTCATCCTCCCATCTTTCCCAGATTATTTTCTATATTAAACTATTATTTATTCCAGTAACATACTTTCTTTTTCCCACCAACTAAATAACTGATAATCAATAATGAAGAAGCAACACTTACTCAGACATGTTGGCGGTTTCTTTTCTTCACAACCTGAGTAAAGAACAGAAAGAGGAGAATAAATAAATGTTGTCATCTGGCTCTCTGCTTAAATATCAGAGCGCATCCTCCGTATGAAACGTGATCCATTAAGACAGTCGATGAGCAGCTGAGTGCTGACAGAGCTAAGTTTGGCGTTTGGGTCGAGTGTCGCCGCTGACGCCTGCGATAAGCTCCTTTACAGGTGTTCAAAACCAAATATCCTCTGGGAGTTAACACTTGAATTCCTTTCGCAGCCACGGGCAGAATGTGCTGCGGCAGCGTGTTAGCCGCCAACAGCCGGCTGTGGATGCACAAACCTTCACACACGCTGCAAAAACAAATCTGTCTTAACAAGTCACTCATTCCCAGAATCAGATTTCAGGAGTTATTTATTTATTTTTATACCTCAAATAATTCAAAGTTCAAGTCAGATACTTGAAACGAGACAGAAACAAGCTGGAAGGACTTAAAAAGAGACTTAATTTGACTTACAAACTCTAAAAACAGTCAAATCTTTATTATTATTCTTCTCAGATCAAAGAATATTCAACATTTTCGAGATCAAAGCTTCAGAAAGTGTCGAGATCAAATGTCAAAACTTTTAAAATCATACGCTTTAAAATGGAAATGCACTGTTAAAATACCTTTGTCAAAACAGCATCTTTAAATGTTTTCAGACAAAACCTCCAGAAATGTTCAAACAGACAGAAATCACATCTTTAAACTTTCCAAAACCAGCCAAAATATTTTAAATAAATACATTATTTTAACTGTTTTCACTACAAATTTGACCCGTTATTGTCACAATACAATTTAATCATTCAACTTTGCTTTTGTTTTAGAGCACTGACTCAAATTTCTAGAAAATTCCTGAAATCATCAACAGAAACATAACTTGGATGAAGCAGAAATAACTCAGATTTTTTGACAAAGAAGTCTTGACAGCTAATTTTGACACCAAATAACCTGCCGACATTAACATTTCTGCAGCATATTCCGTTAAAAACACTAAAATCTCTCAAATCCAAAAGATCTCAAAACTAAAACCAGAGCTGGGAAGTCAAATTTCCAACCTTTGCAAGCGATTCCAACAGTTTAACAGCAATTTTTGTTCAAATGCTAAAAAAAAATTAGACTTAACGATCATAAATGTACAAGAAAACAACCCTTCAGATCTCATCCGGCGGCGTTCAGCCTTCTTCCATCACCTCAAACTGAACTTCCCTTCACTTGTTAGCAAACTCCAGAGGTCAGGACTTTTATCACCTTAGCGCTTTACCAAGAAAACAGACTCCGCTCAGCCACTCTGGATCCGTTTACCAGCTCCGTTCACAGGCATGCAGAGAGTCAGACGAAAAGGAGGAGGAAGGAAGGAAAACTGGTCTCACCTACGACGAGACAGAGAGTCGAGGAGGAGGTCGGCAGTGGCCAGCAGGAGTGGGAAGAAATCATCCCTGGGTGTATTTATATAGGAGGGCTCGGATATGGATATGGAGCTCCTGTTTATGGAAATGCAGGATCCTCAGACCAATCGGCCAGCAAGCTCCTGAAATATCATCATCCACTGCCAGCTTCACTCTGTAAATCAGGCATCGCTAAGGAGGAGCCTGATATCATTTTAGGACTCCGCTCAGTGCCACCGGGACGCTATAAAAGGGAGGAAAAAGGACTATAAAACCATCGTGGTCCAAACGATTAACCAGATGAAGATGGGAGGGATTAAAGTAGAGGGACAGTAGAGTCATTTCTGTGTTTTGAGGGGGGGTTGTTCTGAGATCAGAAATACTTCCAGTTGCTGGAAAATCCTGGAGTTTGGCTCGAGTTGGCTTTCAATTCACAGTTATGTGGAAAGTTTAAGGAGAAATCTCTCAATTCTCTATTTTAAATGGTCAAACAGGTATTAGGAATCACACAAACAGCGAAAATGGATGATTTGACTGGTTTTCTTTGAATAAACTGCATGAAAAGAGAGAAATCTACATCTGGTTTGGTTAAACTTGTCATCTTTGGAATTGATTTATTGAGAAATCTATTTAAATAAGCTCTAATCAAAAACCACAAATATAAGTTTTCAGCTTTTGCATTCCTGTCATTTCATGATCCGTTAGCTTCTTTCTGTTGGACCTTTCAAGAATGTGTGCAGTCATTAACTGAGTCAACTTCGGAAACATGAACGTCTCGCTAATTAGACTACGGTAATTAGGTTTTTACACGAAGGACTCGTCCTTTACACTTTGGCACTTGAACCCAGCGTCGTCTCCTCCTACAGATGTCAGCTGTGGAGGAAATAACCTTCCTTCTCCACAGCTGCCTGACACCTCTTAACAAACAACAGCTAAAGGTTGGCTGTTAACCTAACGAAGAGAGGCAAAATAGAGCTTAAATTACTTGATATATAAACGAAGGGAATCAAGCTTTCTTATCAAGTTTTAACATTCATAGAGTAAGCAACTCTTAAAAGAAACGTAATCTGATCAACAGGAGTCTGAAATAAAGTCTCAAATGTTGCCAATGTCTACTGTTACCCCCAATTTTACATATCCTAAAGCAGCCTAGATAGATAGATTACGGTATTTTTTTAAAGAAATAGCAGAAATAAAAAGCAACAAAGACATCTAAAGATACTCACAAGTGCCACAATTTTAGCGAGAACTACCTGTATTTAGAAGACAAACTGAAGTTTTGCGATCATCTTAATGTAAAAAGCAAGAAGTTCCAGTCAGCAGTTGACTACCTTTACCTCTCTGATCTTTTCTAAACTTTAAAAGTCCTTCATTGATTACTTCAAAAAAACATGAATGACTTCTAAAGCAGAAAAATCTTGGATTTTCCCCAAATATCAGAATCATAGGTGCGAAGAACCGGTCACGTCCAGACTCCTGTGAGTTCAGAAACAAGTTGAAAAGAGACAAACTTTTGACATCACTTTTAACTATTGCTCCAAATAAAGTGCTTAGCAAGCTCACATTTCTGCTGTCTATAAATATCACGTAATCACCGGCTGGCCCCGGTTAGCGTTTCATCTTGGACTGCGGACCCGAGCTTTGGATCTGACCCTCAGATAGGCTTCCAGACCTTTCCCTGGTCACAGAAGGCCCTCTCATATTAACACTTGGTGGTATAAAAATATGTGGGCATGATGTCAGGTATACGCAGGAAGGCAGATTTTCCATGTGGATAACGTTACATCATGGCTCCTAAAAACAATCTTGCTTAATTGTTTCAGATTCTTAACTGAATTTACTTTAACAAGAATGCGTCCTTCGATATGGGAAAGTACTTACACGGCATACTGCGAGTGCTTTAACAGAGCATGTTAGGGTTCAGACTGTTTAAAGATAAAAGTTCTTTATATCTAAAAAAAAAAAGCTCATCTAACAAACCACATAATCATTCCAGAAATGATTCATAAGACCGTTTCCAGATCCATAATGTCTGTGGTTACGATAAGCAAGTAAAAATACTTAAGGGTAAGATTGTGGTGACTGTTGAAACAACCAGTACTTTAATTTTGAGCCATGCTAGCGGTGTGGCAAACCTGAGATTTCTTAAACAGTTATTGGATGGATTACCATGACATTTTGTACCAACATCCTTCCCTCTGACTTTTCCTCTACTGCCGGGACTGGTAACTCGTAGCACCAGGGGAGTGTAGGTGTTTATGCTAGCACAGGAGCTTTGGACTGCCGGGAGGAGGACGTTTGAAGGTCCAGGGTGGGTGAAGTGGGGAATGCTGGCTCAGCAGCATCCCTGTGACCCAGCTTCCCAAGACCAGTGTAACAGCTGTCAATTAAACAAAAAATGTAACTTAGAAATGTAAGGTAAAGACTCACAGCCAGTTACTCTGTGGTATTTATCTCAGTATATCCTGTTACACACATTATCAGCATTTACATGTCAGTAAACGCGGTGAGACGCTGCTGAAATTGGCAACATGTGATCAACTTTCTGAATGATTATGAAAGAGAGATCACTCCATTGGATAAATTGAGGTTTGATTTGATATTTTTTCATTTTGTGAACAACAAAACGTAGACGACAGCATCTGTGATGATGCTACAGCTTTCAGGGTGCAGGTAACTGTTAGTCAGCATATAGAGCGAGGCGGACAGCAGTTTAATAATGTGATTGTTAGTTTCTCAGTGCTTAATACTGTCCTAACACGTCCTCACCATACTTTGGGTATTTTATTTTATCTACAGCTCCACCACACTCTCTCCCCTGAATAGATCCATCGCCACTGGTGTGGTCCAGGGTATATGCGGGTATACGCTTATTTTTCAGTCAGCATTGCGTATACCCGCTTCTAAATTCCCCGATGGGCACGACTCAGTAGTATCTGCGAGCCAAATTGCCCATTTTTTCCCCACGATGGTGAAACCATGACCCACGCTACTCTGCCCCTAATTGGCTAGTACTCACTGCCTTTACTGATTAGATTGATTAACTTTAGCCATGACGACGAATGAGCCAATCGGAGGCAGAGAAGGGCGGGTCATGCTGAGGTAAATATTGCTAAAGACAAATTTACTTTTACAAGTTTACTTTAAATGATTTGCCTTTAGGATTTGTAATGAACCGGTAAGATGAAGCGAGCTATCCAAACAAAAATTTAATTTGACAATTACAAACATCAACATCAGCCAACAGCTCAGCTAATATTAGCGATGCTCTGCCCCCCCCACCCCCGTCGGAGAGGATGCTGTCAGTGAAGGAGATGCTGCCTCTCCGCCCACAGCCAAAGATGCTGGTACAACTTCAGATGAAGACGTCAACTACTAATAATTTGAATGATGATGTTCAATCATCATATGATATTTATATATATTTAACGAGTTATGCTAAAATAGTGTTTATTTCAATTTGAAATAAACACTATTTAGGATAACAGTGCACTTTGAAAACTATTTTACAAAGGCACTTTGAGTTACCGATTGGTTTTGATGTGTGGAAGAGAATGATTTGCGTTTTTTTTATCTCAGGGAAATATGAACTAGGATGCATTGTCAAATTCAGATCTGAAGTATTTTATTTAAATAAATGTTTGCCTCATCTATATTTCACATTCATGCAGGCTGCCTGTGTGACCAGTAATACCTACAAACTGCTCCTGATCAAGTCATGTTCATTTTATAATAGTGGCACGCTCAGCTGTTCAAAGACAGTTTACAAAAGAAACTACTGACTTGCCAAGTGTGAGAAAAGGTGTCCTTCCAGGAATAAGGAATAGTTCTCTCTCTCACTAGTCTGTGGGCCAGTATTGGTTCAGTAATTTCATAATCCTTCCTCCCTGAGATCAAGCAGCAGAAATTATGTGACAATGAGCAAATACTACAGACGGATTTTTGGGTAAACTAAATAAAGTAGTCTTACATGTCACTGTTTCTAAAACAGGGCGTTTTTCTGGGCTGCGTTAAAAAAGGGCAAAAATTGAGAGTATAGCCACTTCTCCAGGGACCACTACACCACTGTCCATCGCTAACAGATGGCTGTGTGTGGTTAGATGGTAGAGACTGAAATCAGCTGCTAAAATCCCAAATGAGACAGCAGGAAACAAAATGTTCCGATATAAACCAGTTGTACATTAATAAAATATCCTAATTAGTTTAACCGACTAGTATCGTATCCTAATTCAAACCAATCTAACATAATATGGCTAACAAAATGTACAGTATTTCTATAACTACACACAAAGGATTAAAATGTTGTTAAATAAAGTAATTAATTCAATGGTTCTGCACAACTCTTAATGGTGAATGCTTTAAAACATAGTACTAATAGTAAATAAATGAATAACAAATGTTAAAACATCAAACTGTTGCAGCATTGATCAGTAATTGATCTCCTCGTTAACTCTTCCAGCGATCAGACCAGTAAAGGTGTCAGCAGAGACGTAAGCATTTAGCAGGTCAGACTATAGGACCGAGTGCTGGGGGGGAGGACGTGGTGACATGTCTGAGTGAGGCGAGGACAGCGGAGATGATGGAGCCATGCTGGGAATGTAGCGGCGGAGGGTGACGGTCGAGGGGTCGGGTTCGTGGTTCTGCCAGGTGTTTTCTACCGGCCTTCAAATCTGAGCCCTCAGGAATGTTCTGTACCGGCAGGTCCGAGTTTGGAAATGCCAGAGAAGCGTGTGGCCTTTCCTCACTATGTAAAAAGCATTAATAACTATATGTGTGTGTTTACATGGATTTTGATTCATACTCCAGTTGGAAGTTCAGATCCATCCACCATCTGGTTGTGTTTTTGTAGCGTGGACAAAGTGTCCGTGACGCCACCCAGCAGGACGGACTACAGTTGGATTAACCGCTTCTCTTTTTCACTGAGTTTCTATATCAACGAGGTAGAAAATGTATTTCATTCATTTAGAGACCTGGTTAATTTCCTGAGCAGACCTTTTGGGGATGATGGTACGGAAGCTCATTTCAGCCAATGTGACAGGGAAAATAGGACTCTGTAAGTCATTAAAGTGATAAAGTTTCTCAATATTTTGATTGTGTCTCA